AAGACCTTGCGCTATACTCCGATCGCACTTGTCCATGGTTGGGGCAGTTGATGAGCTCCATTGGTGTCTTGATGGTAGGTCCCTTCCTATAAGTTGGGTTAAACTAGGCTGGCAACCGGCTATCCCGAGGCCTGTGCCTGCGGAGGTCGTGATGCCCCACAGAACCTCCTTTTTTCATGTTTAAAAAAAAAAAAAAAAAAACAAACAAACACCAATTGCAATTCAAATCCAAACCCAAATAAAAATCCCTACACAAATCAAAAAATATATAATAATAATTAAAAAACAAAAACAAGAAGAAGAAGATAGAGATGGACAAGGACAGAGATTTGGGACCCAAAGTTGTGGAAACAAATGGTTGTAAATGGACGGAGCTATTCATGAATAGGCTCGGCTCGGTTCGACGGAGCTATTAAACGAGTTGAGTTTGAACTTGAAGATTAGCTTTGTTTAGTAAATGAACAGAATTTGAGTTCAAATAAACTTGATTTGTTTATTTTTCTTTAAATTATATAATAAATTTATGGGGTTTTTTTTTTTAAGGTCCTTGATCTTATGATTTTATAGCATAAAGGACATCAAATATTTTTATGATGTCTAAGGTCCATCAACAATATTTTCATAATGTCTAAGGTCCCTCAACCTTGATCCAGAGAAATTTCAGTCCAGAGAAAATTGGTCCAGAGAAATTTCAATCCAGAGAAAATTGGTGCAGAGAAATTTCAGTCCAGAGAACAGAGCCAACTGAGGCCGTAATCGCAGTGTTGAATCCCGGACAAACCTAGGGTTTCTAATTGAAGTTTGGTTTCGGAGTTTCCGATCATTAAATCGGTCAAATTGAGTTTGTGTAAATCGAATTGTCCAGTGTTGAAGACGATCGAGAGGTCTTTCAGTGAGTGGAAAGAGATGAGCCAGTGGAACTTTCATCTGATATATGTTTAGGGACCTTAGACATCAAAAAATAATTTTGTGGATCTCTTCCATTACGAAAAGTGGAAGAGGGACCCTAGACCGATTTTCCCTAAATTTATTATGTATATATTAAATAATATAAATAATATTAAAAAAAATCTTATCGACTTTGAATTTTATTAATATTAACGAGCCGAGTTGAGCCGAGCTCAAACCTAATTATTTATCGAGCCGAGCTCAAACTCAAAACAACATTACATTGACGACAAAAATCCCTTCAACAACAAAAGCCACCCCTCACCATCATCCTCCCCATCGACCTCTCATCTCATGGTTGCGACTACCACTAATTTTATAAAAAATATTATGTATTTGCAAAACATTGATTAGTAGAAGCGGTCTCGCATGACACAATTTAATGGGCTTTGGTTTTAGTCCTAATATTATTTTTATTGAAATTTTTTATATAAATTTATATATTTAATTTCAATCAACTAATACCATTATATTAATATTCAAATGAATATATAATTTATCTTATATTTTTAATTTGATATCATCGTATTAATAATTTTATCACTTAATTATATTATATTCGTAAACCTATTTGATTTAGAAAAATGCTTGGGAGCATTAATTAGTGCTCTCACTAATTAGGTGGCAGTGGGTCCCGCTATTAATGATGGGATGTTTTAGTCTTGGAGGTATATATATATATATTTTTTACTTTTTTAATACATTAGTGCTATTAGTGGTGATATTTTTAGTGAGATGAATCATTGTTGTTTAATTTAACAGAACAAAGAGATGTGGATAAGACACAGAGAGGGGGTACCCTTGGGTTTGGGGACATGTGAGGGAGTGATGATCCTCTCCTTGCAGCTTCCGTGTTTGCGCTCGTCCTTGCAGGCCTTCGGGTCTACTTTTAGGCCCAATTTTGATAATCTGAACCGTTCATATTTTATGATTTATTCAGTATATCATACCTGTAAAAAATCAAGTTGATCGGATATCAGAAAGCATATGTTCGGACAACTGTTTATTAAATTATTTAAAAAATAGTGTTTAGTTCAATTTTTCAAACACATACTTTCTGATATCCGATTAACTTGATTTTTTACAAGTATGATATACTGAATAAATCATAAAATATAAACGGTTCAGATTATCAAAATTGGGCCTAAAAGTAGACCCGAAGGTCTGTAAAGACGGACGCAAGCACAAGCTTGCAAGGAGAGGCTCCTGACTCCATGTGAGGTGACTAGTCTGGTGTGGATGTATGAGAGACAGTATCAACATCAATTAGGTAAGCATTTATTCATAAAAGGCCTGCTTTCCTCCAGTCCCATATAAAGATTAAAGGGTACTGTTAGATTTGTAGAAACTTCCTATTAGATCCGTTTTAATAATTTGATCAATTTAATATATAAAAATTATCGTGTATTATATGTCTGTAAAAAATTACGTTAATCGAATATCGATAATTATATGATCAAATCAGTTTTGTATTAAAAAAAATAGACAGAAAAAAATAAGCAGTTGACAGTTTTCTGATCCGATGAGATAACTATCGATATTTGATTAACGTGATTTTTTACAAACATATATTATTTGACGAGTTCTACACATTAAACGATTCGAATTATTAAAATAAAATCTATAATAAACGAATCCAACAACACTTTTCAATCCAATCTGAACCGGAGGAAGCCAGTGCCTATTCATAATTCGTAAAAGAGGTAGGATCCCATCCCCACTTCTCTCCTCTCACATATAGCAAATGCAAATGCAAATGCAAATTCATTCATTCATTCATTTAATGCTTTTTGGAGAGGCTCCACGTCTCAACGGTTTGGTTGCCATTAGACCCTCACTCACTCATGAACTAAACATTTAATAAAAAATATCTAAATCCTTTTGCGACGTGTTTGGATACTATCACCAAAACTATCACCGAAACGACAAGATAGATTCTATCTAATCCGCACCGTTCAACATCTCTTCTTTTCAAATATGAAAATGATTTATAAATAAAAATTCATAATACACATTTTTAAAGTGAAAGTAACATATTATTGTAATTGTGTCAAGTGTGTTATGAGCGATACATTATAAATGTTATAAATTATTTGCGATATATGTTATAACATTGTAATAAAATGTATGTAATGGATGGCTTTTTTGAAGAGCTCCCTAACTTGGGAGGCAATGCAAGCATAGAGAGAGAAAGAGAGAGAGAGAGTAGTGCAGAGAAGAAGGAACCAAATGGCTCAATTGTGCACGCCTCCCCTATTCCCTGGCATAATTTTTATTCAAACATATATATATGATGTGATACCATTTACAACAGAGGAAGCAAATTAAAGGGCAAAAGCATATCACTTAATTAAAAATAAACTACTAGTTATTAATTCAATTTGGAAATATTAAAAAGAAGATCTGGACCAATATTAATAATAAAGTCACCAAACTAATTTTTATTATGAAAGTTTGGCACATCTTTTAGATATAATTGTGCTAAATTTTAACCTTTAAAACTATATATATAATATATATATATAGGGACTTCAAAAAGAGGAATGTATAATAAATCTAACTAACCATGATTGAAAAAAATCACAAAGGTACCAGCCTGTGTCAATGTGTGTGACCTTTCACTTTCACTTTCATCATTTTTCCCATATGGTCTGTTCAATCAAAGGCATCCCCCCCAACCCAATCAATGTCATTCCAAGCCTAACTCTCACAAGCAACCAACACCTTTTATTTATTTTTTCTTTTTCTTTTTTCATGTGGGAAAAAGTCAGATTAAGATGAGAATCTCTTCAAGCAAAACCAAAATACTGTTCCACTCTCTCTGTCTCTCTCTACACAAATTTTGATGAAATACCATCAATCAAAGGCATCCCCCCAACCCAATCAATGTCATTCAAAGCCTAACTCTCACAAGCAACCGACACCTTTTATGGAAAAAGTCAGATTAAGATGAGAATCTCTTCAAGCAAAACCAAAATACTGTTCCCCTCTCTCTCTCTCTACAAAAATTTTGATGAAATGCCAAACTTTGGCAGACACTCCCCTCTATCAATTGATGATGAGGACTATTAATATTAATATTTTACAGTACAAAAATGTTAAAAATTGATAATTTTGCTCCAATATTTATATCATTTTTCCAGCACAACCATATCCTCATATTTTTAACCACTCTTCAATTTTTATAAAATACATCGAACGATTAATAGAAATGTCAAAATTTATACTAATTTGACACTAAAAATAATGATGCTAAAATTTGACAATTTGAATGACAACTCTATTAAAGCACAAAACTGTTATAATGCAAATATAATAACTCAAACAGCAGCAACACAATAATATGAATTGCATCTACAGAGAAACTAACAGAAAGGGACCAACAAGAGAAAGAATCTTCGCAGCTAATTCTGAACGGCTCATATCTATCCATAAAGTACTAATTTAGTAATCAAAGCTACATTAAATAATTTTTTTTAAAAAAAATAATAATTTAAAAAACGGAAGGATACTGGTTCTCTCTAATCATTAAAACTAACTAGATGGTCAAGCTGTTCTGTTGTGAGCCTAGTCTGGACTACCTTGATAATTAAAATCATTCATCTTATAAGTCTCTTTTGAGATGATCATTCATGCGAAAAAAAAAGGTTGAACGGACTTAGGTAGCTATATGATCGGATCATATTTATTATAATTAATATAGATGATTTTAGAGATAGACCGTCCATTCATTTTATCACAAATGTGATCAATTTAAGTAATTATTGACGTTCAATCAACTTAATTATTTGCAAGAATAAGCATCTCAAAAGAACTTTCAGAATGACCGATTTAGATCACAAAAATAGACCCACGCCAAGTCCACAGCCAGGCAAGTGGAGGGTTCAATCAGTTTTACCAATGGGAGGGAAGCCCATCCCCAAAAGAAATATCCAAGAAGCTCCCTTATCAAAATGGGTTTCCTCTTCGGAGGGTCCCACTGGACCATAAACAATTTGACAGCTTTAAAGGATAAGCTTTCAGATGAAAATAAAATCCTCCTAATAGCCCAGTTAGCTGGTTCATTCCTCACTCCAAGTGCAAAAGGACACCATAAGGGTGGCCTCTTGAAAATTCAACACACTACACTACACTCCATGAGAAACCCTCTTTTCTTTAAACCCAATAATTCAAATCATATTTCAACCCACTCTTCTTCTTCTTCTTATTCTTATTCTTCCCAAGCAAAGCCATCTGTTACATGAAAAGATGGATCTTCAAGAGTGGGAAATCCTCCCTGATGATGGGTTCCTTGAAATCCATGATGATGGAGGCAAGAAAATTTTCTCCAGAAAATATGATGGGGTTGGTGATCCAAACACTAGTGTTTTCAATATGAATTACTTCATATGCCCATCTCCAAAGTCCCAAAAAACTCATCCCCATCATCTTCATCTTCCACCGCCGAATCCAATTCCACTTCAGTTGGATCATCAACTGGCAGTGAAAGAAGAAGAAGTCACTAATAAAATCCCAAAAGCTCCAAATATAGGAGCTGTGGAAACTGATCAGGACGCAGTTTCACAAGTTTTCTTCAAGAAAATGAAGGAAAATGAATTTGTCGACATGAAAATGGATTCCCCAAAGTCCAGTGGCAGCAGGGGAATTCTGCCCCAACCTCAAATTGATGCTGCACCCAAGTTTCAGTTTGAGGATACTAATAAGAAAGGTGAGGAGACCATCGAATTGGAATTGGAATTGGAATTGGAATTTGAGGGTAAGAGTGGATCAGAGATGAGAATCGAGAAAGAGAACAGAATGGAATTGGATTCAGATGAAAATGGAAATGGAGGTATCAACTTGTGGAAGTGGAGCTTGAATGGAATTGGTGCTATTTGCACCTTTGGAGTGGCTGCTGCTACAATTTGCATTGTCATCCTTGGAAGCCACAACAGAAACAATCAACACCGCCAGCAGCATCAACAATTTCAGATCTATTCTGATCAAAAGGTCTATTTAGATTTCTTGACTATTCCTCTTAATTTTGCAATACCCATTTTCAGCTTCTTCATTAAACACTTCAATTTCATTATTAGAGTTTTCTCCTATGTCTGCTGGTGAAATATATTGGTACTGCTTATGGGGCAATCACTTCTTTTTTTAAAGAATATGTATTATAACTTATTAAGAAAAATAATTTAATTAAGTTAAAAATAGTTAATTATTAGAAAGTCGGAAGGGGCTATTTTTAGTTTCTATTTTTTGACTTTTATTTCATTTTTTGAAACTGAAAATTTTTAGTCTGGCCTAACTTAGATGAATGTGAAGGGGGATGTTAGGGATCTAACCTAACCGCATGAACTATCCACTAGATCAACTCCGTTACTTAACTTGTATCTTGCAAAAACACCAAAATAAGAAGAAGAAAAAAAATGTGTTGATAATCAGGAAGTTGAGGGGGATGCTTTTGCTTTGTGATTAACCTACACCACATGGGGGCTAATGAAATATGATACACTTGAATCATTAGACCATTGAATAAGGGCACATTTTTAATGTAAAGGCATGCATGATAACAGGGCTTTGTTCACCAGTAGAGGAGACCTGAAATAACACATGAATTGTGATAATACATATATGTGCAGAGGATGAAGCAGGTGGTACAGCATACAAGTAAATTGAATGAAGCAATGTCAGCAGTGAGAGGTGTGGCTGTGCCCTTAACAGTGACTAGAGCTCATTTCACTTTTGGGGGTTACTATAATGATGGTCTTCTTTAATTCTCTTTACTCATATTACATTAAGATAAAGAGAAGTTACTCATCATGAGCAGCAGCTTCTTCAGATCAGATCATCCATATTAAGAGCTTTTATCAGCAGCAGCAGGAATAATAATACTATTGTTGGGTATATGATGTGATGTACTATATTGTCAGCTTTACTAGTTCTGTTTTTGCATATTGGGATCTTTATATGTTTGTATTTTGTTTGTTCATAGGCATATATAGATATTGAATGTGTGTATTGTAAATGTTCTCCATTTCCATTCTTGCTTGCGTTGTTTTTGCTTCCTCGTGCTTTAACTATATAAAACCACTTATGCTGTGTTTGGTTGAGAGATTTGAGGAGTGATTTGGAAAGGGTAATGGAAAAGGTAAGTGAAATGTGAAAAAAATATACCTACATTTCACATAGTTTCACACACCTTTTCTCTTTCTCTTTCCCTTTCCAAATCCCTCCCTAAATCTCCTAACCAAATACAGCATTAGTGTGTGTGGCATGCATTCAAATGCTAATTTTTGTAACAGACAACTGCGTTTGGAATTTGGATTTGATTAAGAATTTGTCAGGGGAAAAAGAAAAAGAAAAAGAAAAAGAAAAAGAATGAAGGAGTGATAAAATTTTGATTTTGATTTTTGTCATTTATCCCCTATATTTTGATAGCATTTTTGGGAGTTGATCAAGTGAATTGTCTACTACAAAGCACTAAACAAATAACAATGATTTTTCCTTAACATATGACATAAGACACCACTAAAAACACTTGTTTTTTGGTGTTCTTTTATTCTTTTGGTAAACTGCTACGTGTGATACAAGATCTAGTAATTACTTTTCCCATGAGTGAAAAAATTACATACTTTTTTAGGACAAGTAAAATAATGTTTTGTACTGAATGAATTTTATCATTTTTTCTTCATTCTTCTCTTTGATAGGTAAAAAAACAAAATTTGAAAATTTTCTAGTTGTATTGAGAAGCCTCATTTATTTATGCCTTTTTTTTTTAATACCTATATTACCTTAATATTACTAAGAGCTTTCTTTTTCCTTTTTTTTTTTGAGTTAATATACTTTTCACCATGTAACTTTCGTTTAAATTTCACTTTGGTTTGCAACTTTTTAATTGCAACAATTAGATTCACTTGATTTCAATTTAAGATTTATGTGGTCTTCTTGTCAATCCACAATTTAAAATTTGAATACAAGTTAAAAAATAACGGCAATTGGTTAATGGGGGAGAACTAGATAATAAAACTTAATTATTAGCTAATCAGAACTCTCAACCTTTGTAGATTTTTTTATTACAAGCCATGAAAGGAAGAGAAAAGGACCAATTGAACAAGTCCAAACCATCTCTTGACAAAGAAGGAAACAACCAAAACCATTTAATACAAATTAAATTTATTGAGGTGGGAATGAGTGACCCACCATACAAGGGTGAGTCACCCCATTGCTTGTGAGTGTGAATGACGCACCAAACAATGCCTACTTGTCAACAGTGATGGCCTGGGGTTCACTAGAATAAATTACTCATGCCATGACCCAACTAGAAGCATGTGTAGTTGGTTTGTCAATGTCTTTCTTTGTTTTCTTTCCAAAATTTGTTTTAAAAAATATTTAAAAAGTGTTTGATGAAAATAAACATAAAATATAAAAAGAAATATAAAAACAAAATTGAATTGGTTCCTCAAAAAATATAGAGCATCTATTCTACCCTTTTTTAGGTGCTATTTAATATATCAAGAAGAAGCTCTACGTTCCCAAAGAATCTCAACAACTCAAAATCATTGAGCTTCCCTTTTTCTATTAGGTGTCTTGGATGAAAGATTTGGAGGGCGATTTATGAAGAAAAAATTTAAAAATAAAATAAATAGAATACAAGTTAAATTTTATTCATTTTTATTTTTTTTTCACCATGAATCACTATTCTATTCAAATTATTGATCCAAACACGACCTTAACTACAAGAAGATCCTAACGGCTCTTTAATTTTAACAAGTAAGAGATTGGTAATTTTTATGTAAGCACCTCCTCCAAATTATCCTGATAAAACGTGCAAGCAAGCTAATTGGGTGAAATGCCCCATCCTCAGGTTTCAGGTTCAACATTTGAAATAAATGAAGAAAGAAACTTGTGTACATCATGAAGGTGGACTAGAAAGTCCACAATTTAGCACGAGAGTGGGATGCATCATCATGTAATGCCATGCTTGACCATTGAATTTGCGCACGAAATTGGGATACATCATCATGTAATGTTATGTTTGAATATAAAATTTGCGGTCTGAGTTGTTTCTCTGACACAGCTCTGACAGAATGGGTGAGTGAATAGAGAGAGAATTCACTGTTAATTCATAAGTAATTCATGTTATAAAGAAAAAGGATGTTACAATTCATGGAAAATGTTTTTCTATTTGGGTTGCATTTTTGAAATTAAAATACTCATAGTTGTATTAGTGGTAGTGTTGTAGTGGGAAAAGTGGCGGTGGTGATGGTGACAGGGTGAAGGTGGTAGCGGCGAAAGTAGAATGATTGTATTTATAAGACTTAAATTTAGAAAATATTTTATATTTCATAAAAAAATTTTGCCCAAATGAATATGATTTCCATTGACTACAAAAAAAAGTTTTTAGTTGACTTTTTCTTTTCTTTATACCAAACTCTATAAAATGCAAAAAAAAAAAAAACTACTGTTTAATTTTTTATTTCTTTTTACATGATTTGGGTAACTGTTTCATTACATCTCTTAATTTTGTATTCCAATGATCTGACTAAGACTGTCTGAAGTGGTCTCACACTCCGCTCCTCTCCTCTTATCTTTATCCACTTTAATTCTACATCATTAGAATGAAATTGGAGGAACAAAATGAGGGAAAAAATCATTTTTCATTCGTAATTGACTAATTTTAATGATGTATACCTTATTTATCTTACAAGATTACAAAGGCATGTGAACTTAATGATGCATAGCTCATTCGCATCTGCTGCATATAGTGGTGGTTGCTTCTGAATTTCTTGATTTTCTTGATTTGGGTAATTAGCCAAACACACCATAATTCTAGAGGTATATATATATATAAAAGAAGATCAAAAGTAAACAAATGATAACAAGTGAGAATCAAAATTCAAAATAAATCACAAGAATTATATATGTAATGGAAATAATGACAATAATGTGAATATGTTAAAGCAAAACATTCACAAAAGAAAAAATAACTAATGAAAGCCCAATCAAAGGAGTCTCAACTCAACCCCTTCTCTTCCCCAACCTCATGATCACCATTAGCCCCTTAAACCCATTTGGAACAGAGAAGAGGATTGAGACACAGACCTCTCTACCCAAATCCCATTCCAACAAAAAAAAAAAAAAAACCCAAATGAATTGCAAGCTCAGAGAGAGAGAGAGAGAGTGAAAATTAGAAGAGAAGACCAAATGCAAGGGCGGTGATAGAAGCAAAAGCTGCGGGTACAAAGGCGGTGGCGTCCGCGGTAGGGGTAGGTGCAGGGGCCTCTGCTGCAGCCACATTTTGGACAGCTGACACGGCCATCAACATCATGACAACAGCAACAAAAAGCTTCATCTTCATTGCCTCCATTGTTATTTTTGTTGTGTATATTGAATTATGCAAAGCAAATTTGCAATTGAAAATGGAGAGAGACACAGAGAGAGAGAGAGAAACAGGGGAAGAAAACAGAGAAAAGCAAAGCAAGAATGAAAAGAAGCAGTGAGTGGGAATGGGATGGTTGGTAGTTATATATAAGGTGTGTGGTGCGGCCAATGTAACCGTTAATTCAACTATTGTTTCATTTTGCTTTTGCTTTGCTTTTACATTCATCGAATTTTAGGCCAATTTTTACAGGGTGTCCTATAAGTTTTAGGTGCCATACAGCTGTATGCCAACGGCTCTCTGTCTTTTTCTGGGGTCCATCCATCCATTTTTTTAACCACCCAGAAACTTTAGTGGGGGGCCTCAATTTGCAAAAGAATAAGGGAGAGGTGCTTTGTAGGGGCAATTTTCCTCCACCTTAGAGCATGTTCTGAGGCTCTGCCCTGAGTAGCCAAGGGTGTTTTTGTCTTTTCAGTGCCAATACAATTTTGTTTTTCTTGAAGATATTTTAGTGTGTCTATAAGAGGGGAAATTGTACCATTTCCTTTTTTTAGTTATAATTAATTTTTTTTAGTTATGATTCATAAGTTTTTTGATTATATCTCGTATTGTATTTAATTATGATATTTTTATTTTTTTTAGTTATGATCTAAAAAATATAAATTTATTTTATTTTATTTTTTAATTATAAAATGATATAGGTATGTACCATAGTATTTCTCTATAAAAAATTGAATTATTTGGTGGAGACTGGAGAGATATGGGGTTGATGAGCTGTTTCATCTTACTAGGAATTCCATATGCTCTCAATTATGATATGTAACATTAGCTCTGGAAATGGTAAGGGCGGCTCAATGATTCAATTATTTATTTTTTTCAAGAGTGGACAGACTTTGCCTTCATGTGGGGCTTTGTCAAATGTTTTTTTTTTTTTTTTTTTTTTAATCTGAAGTTATTGATCTTTTGGACAAGACACGATTGTTTGAATATGTTAGTTACACCAACCTCTTCTCTTATTTTAAAAAAATTTAACAGATTTTATAATTTTAACATAATTATATCAATTTTTTTTAGTAAGGTTACAAAGACAGAGATTAATATAGATAGTTTTTGTTTTGAAAAAAAATATATAAATAGTTTGAAAACACAATCATAAATAAGATATCATATATATTTCAGTATAAAATAATATTATTTCTGTTCACTATATATGTTTATCATGATTGAACATAAAAGGAATCAACTTGAGACTTATTATATCAATAATGGTATGTGTTTTCATATCATAAAATAAATAAAACTTGATATAAAATTGTGATGAATCTAACAATACTGAAGAAAATACTGTCATCATGTCACTATTGTAGTTGTTGTGTTGATATTGATTATTGTTCATTAAAAATTGACATGAACTCCTCTCCAGCGGATCCAAGTGGGAAGATTGAGTAAAACTCAATCATACAAACTTTGTTCAAAGGCAAAATGAGGTTTAGTGTTGATTTTCATTTCCTTTGGTTGCTTATGTTTTTGTCGACTTTTTATTTTAAAAAATTCAAAAAAAAAAATGGCAAATTTGGTTGGCCAAAAAACTGGCTTTTTGGACTTTTCACACACCCTAAGATAGTGAAAGTTAAAACAGTAATTTTATTGGATACTAAAGGCCTCTTTAGCACATTCTTCAAAGTAGGGAAGAGTAAATAGAAGACTAGAAAAAAAAGAAAAAAAAGAAGAAGTTGTATTGCCAAACATTTATGCCTTTTTCAAATTTAGACTTTTCAAATTTTGTTTTTAATAAGCAAAAAAACCAACTTCTAAATCAGAGAAAAATTAACTTTACAAGTCTAATCCAAAGAAGAATACTATTAATTGGAAAATGAAAACTAGTCATGGAGATCAAGAATTGCCTATGAAAATGGTTTTTTTTTTTTTTATAAATAAAAATAAAAATGCACATTGTTAGAGTCCATAATCAGGTGTCAACCCCAGATTACCCTTAATTTGCACTAATCAAGAAAGTCCCACTCTCTTTTCTTTTTTCTTTTTTTTACCTTTGTCAAATTGGCTTTATTTAGTCCCATAATTTTCTCATGCTTTTTCTTTAACGGTCAAAACAATGAAAACCTGGCATTGCTTCAAAAAAAAAAAAAAAACAAAAGGAGCAGCAATATGTCTAAAGTATGTCCATAATTCAAACACTTGCCATTCAAAGGCCCATTTCACAATTGTTTTTTCAAAATGATGAATTCAAAGGCTGATTTCACAGTTCCCAACTGTGAAAGAAATGACTAAGGATTCTACGTTTTCAAATTTCTCTGTCCCAAGACATTCATAACTACTGGATCATTAAAAATTTTGAAATACTCCAGAGACAGACATAATCTAATGAATGAGAATATTTTGGGACAAAGTAACATGAAGGTTTGAGAACAGTGGTGAATCCCATGATGGAAGAAATAATCTTCAATGAGATGGGCCCAATGTACCAACTAGAATTGAAATTGTGGTTGATGTTGTAAGGTTCAAGGGAAAGGGGCCAGGACTCCACATCAACACAACAGCCTTAAGTTGGTCCCCTCCTCTTAACAATAACCATATAACACAACTGTTTTTCTTTGTGATGAATGTCAAAAGAAGGTCTATATGGCTTGGTGTTCTTTCCTTCACACAAGTTGGTAAACATCTTATGATATCTTTAAAATATGCAGCCAGCAACTGATGTGAACAGTTTTTTTTTGGGATATATATGCAAATCAGGTCAAATTGATTTGTGAACCCATTTGATTTATGCCTACTCACAGAATCAGAATGTACTGATTCAGAGGCTGACATTCTCTTTAACTAAGGGCACCTAGTACATAGGGCTACCGTTAAAGTGGAGTTTGAAGAAGATAAGTTGTAAGCAGCCTTAATCTAGTTTTTGGAGAGATTATTTGTCACTCGAATACATGCCACTCTTTGACTCCATTTGATAATACCCACACATGCAACTGCTTGAAGCTGCAAAGAATGTGAACAACAACAAAGGAAAACAAACCAATATTATTGATATGATTTGTATGGCTTTCAAAATATATATATATATATATATATTTGCAAATGAAAACAAGGAAAGGAGGGGACACAAACAAATTGTGTTGTTCCATGTTATTTGTCTATAGTAGAATGGTATAGGGAGGACCTGTAAAACTCACCCTAGCCAAAATGCACGCCTACTTATGCCATATGAAAGGTGTACAAGTGCTACTTCTAGAATTGGGTTCTTGCGTGGAAGCCCTTTCTCAAAATAAGGTAGGTGATAGTAAATGAAGGCAAAAAACAGTAGTGGTTCTTTGATGAATTGGTTAGGCACTTGATGGTTTCTTTTCTTTTTCTTTTCTTCCGTTGTTAATTTCTTCTCCTCTTTGATGGATTTTGTTTCAAGCAAAGCCAGGATTCTGAAAACCAATGGATTAGTTTGTTGGCCAAAGTTGTACTTGTCTCACTGTTACGTACCTTCTTATTAATAAAATTAACAGAAATAAAAACAAGAGAAATAAGAGAAAAAGACTCACTTTGAGGGCAAAGACCTCCAATTGGTTCTCATTGAGGAGAAGCAGCCCTCCATAACTTCATACAAGTTAATACGTAAAAGACTTCCAATTGGTTCACATCGTCTACTTTTTTTTTATTATAAAATTTTGGTACGTAACACCCCCTGGTGTAAAGATCTTACTTCTGTATTAGTTTGAGATCTCTTTCCTATTTTGAGAGTTTAGTTGTAACATTGTAATTACTATGTCATTATAATTCATTGTACTATGATACAAAAATTAAATTAAGATTGTGGAATTAAATGCTTCATGTGAGATTGCAAATGAGACCGCATACAAATAAGATTCACATACAAATAGAGAGTTTTTGAACCCTTGACTTCCACAGGAGTAACGATTTTGGTCTAGTCCCATATGTTTCTTGCCATCCTAGTTATAATTGTGAAAAAAATGTATGATGGTTTCGTATTGCTATAATGTTGTATAGGTTTCATAAGTCATTTTATGCCCCTAAAATCCCAGCATGCAGTTATTTTCTTTCTCCCTTATTTCCGTCCAAACAAACAGGTTGCATATACATAACTTAAGACTTTGGTTGGGTTACTCTACCAACAAAGCAAATGAACCATCGAACGTTCTAATGGACCAGTTGTTTTTTTTTTTATTTGTCAAGTTTGATGTCTAAATTCGAGACTTACTATTGGTCGATGGAGCTTCTCCTTCCCTTATTTCACTTCTAACAGGTAGAGAAAAAAAAAAGAAAAAAAAAAAGAAAAGAAATAATTCAGCAATAAACTTTTTATAAACTAATCCCAACACACTTGAGAGAAAGCGCAGTGAATTTCTTTTACAATGAATCTTTGTAGTTTTAGCTTGGAATGCCAATCACCATTCAAAAAGAAGAAGAAAAAAATGCCTTTTTTTTATTACCAAATCAAGGGCAATCACAAATTGCAAGAAAGTATTCAATGTCTCACATAGGTAAAGATTAATTCACTACTTTTTTTTTTTTGGATTCAAATGAAGAGTTTAAAACAAACAACACAAAAGAACAGATAAGACTAGGGAAACTTAATCCCTTCTAGAGCCAACATGTAACAAGTTAGCAGTTAACAAAGAGAGGATGGAAACAGGAGGGTCTTCCTTCAAAATGAGGTGCTCTTGTTGATTTACTCCTAAGTTAGCCAAAGCATCTGCACATTGGTTCGCTTCCCTGGGAATTGTTTCAATAGTGCATTGGCATCTTCTAAGAAGGAAGTTAGCATCTTCAATGAGAGCCTTGTATGGAGAGTTTTCCCCAGCTCCACCTCTGAGAAGCGCCATGGCTAGCTGGGAATCGGTTTCAATTTGGATGTTGGCCAAGCCCTTTTGCAGGATGATGGTTAGACCCCGGTAAATGCCCCACAACTCAGCTTCCAAACTGGAATAGTTGCCTAAGTAACCATAAAATCCCTAGATCCAGGTACCAACTTCATCTCGGAGCAGTCCTCCATAACCTGATTGTCCAGGATCCCCTCTAGAGTTTCCATCAGTATTCAT